TACCTGCTTTGGCAGGGGGGTTGGACTAGATGATCTCCAGGGGTCCCTTCCAACCCCTACCAGTCTGTGATTCTGTGAACTGATTCAGGGACAGCTGGAAGTTGCTTCCATTCTGGTTCCACCTTGTGTCTTTACTGGCACTGGTTTGTGCCTGGTCGCAGGCACAGGCTGCACACATGTGTGCTGGAGAACTTCATGCCCACTACCCCAGTGGGATGCTGCAGCTGGCAGCCTGCTGCATTGCTGTCACCTTAATTCCAGCTGGGAGAAAACCATGTTGAGTGATGCAGGATTTGCATAGCACAAGGCTTTTAAAATACAGAAGCAGGACAGATTCTAGATGATGAATTGTGTCTAATAAAGCTAAATAGCAAAACAAAAAATATTCAGAGTTTGCAAATTCACAGACAAGCAGAAGTCCTGGGTGGTCTTTAGGAAAACTATTCCCAGAAATGGTGAGAGACTGCAGCTGTTCCTGGTCTATACAGAAAGCCCTGCATGTTTGAGCATCCTGTTCCCCTCCCTCTCAGGCTCATCATCATTTACAAACCTCCCCTGGTGCCTGGGGCTCATCAGCGATGATTTTTCCTCACTTGCACTCAAAGCAACAACAGGTTTTCAGCCTCTTCTTGTGGATTATGAGTCAGTGGCTGGGCTACCTACAGCCCTTGTCTCTTTCTCCAGATTGATAAAAGCTCGCCCTGCAGCTAACAAGCCACTGGCACTGAAACCCATATAAAATAATACACAGAGCTTTTACATAGCTCTTTTGTTACCTGGCCTACATTACAAAGCATTTGTCTAATGTCTTAGACCCTGGCTGCCCACAAAAATACTTGCATTACATTTTTCAGCAGTCACAAAAATATTTTTAAAAAGTAGGTGGAACTGAAGAACAATTTGGCAAAAAAGGGCTAGAAATAGATCAGCGGGGACGTGATTTGTTATCCTGAACACATCAGGAATCTTAGCAAGCTTAAGATAACCTCTCATACATGGGCAGCTAAATATTTACATTTTCTGTTAATGTTGACTCTGCAGAAGAAATATTCATCATGTCCCTCGACAAACAATACAACGGATGAAAGAACAGTATGAGCACAATGTTACCTTCCACAGTGTTCTTCAGTCTGAAAAACCAAGCAGAGACGAGAAAAGCTCCTGTGGACCAAATGCAGCTTACACCATGGGTGCCCATTCCAATCCCACTGCAGCCTTCTCAAACAGAAGACCTCGTGTGGCACGTACAAACAACATGCCCTTTAACTGAAGAGGTGGATTCCTCAGTGTATTTTAATTATCAGGGTATAAAAGTCTCTAGTTTAAATTTTTTTTCTAAACTTTTTTATTCTTATATTTTTCTACTACATTTCTAAATTACTTTTGTTTCTTACATGTCTTTAAATGTTGCTGGATTATGATATCCCAGCTCTACATGACTTATCTAAGAGCACTGTCCCCAGTACAAACTGTACTCGCTTCTTTCCCCTCTTCCTCCATGCAAATCCATTCAAGCTTATGGCGAACTTCACTGGCTGTGCCACACGCTCTCCGGGGTTTCTTCTGCATCACGCCCTGTCACTAACAGACAACAATAAATATTCCTAAATTCTTTTTTTCTTACAGGCCATGTGGCCAATCCCTTCTCCACACAGTTGTCCTTTCTCGCCCTTATGATACTTTCTATCTGGCTGTATAACCTTTTGTATCTTCCCACTCCATCTTGCCTAGAGCATTACTGCTAGCTTTAAGAGAGGCAAAGGGAATGGTGGAAAAGACTCGCAAGACTGTAGCAAGACAGTGGCTTGAGACCAGCTCTGAAGAGAAGGACTTGGGAGTGGTGGTGGACAAGAAGCTGAACATGAGCCAGCAATGTGCGCTTGCAGGCCAGAAGGCAAATAACCATATCCTGGGCTGCATCAAGAGAAGCGTGGCCAGCAGGTCGAGGGAGGTGATTCTCCCCCTCTACTCTGCTCTCATGAGACCCCATCTGGAGTGCTGTGTCCAGGTCTGGAGCCCCAAACACAAGAGAGACCTGGAGCAGCTAGAACAAGTCCAGAGGAGGCCACGAGGATGATCCGAGGGCTGGAGCACCTCTCCTGTGAGGACAGGCTGAGAGAGTTGGGGCTGTTCAACCTGGAGAAGAGAAGGCTCTGGGGAGATCTTATAGTGGCCTTCCAGTACCTGAAGGGCCTACAAGAAAGCTGGGGAGGGACTTTTTACAAAGGCAGGTAGTGATAGAACAAGGGGTAATGGCTTTAAACTAGAAGAAGGTAGGTTTAGATTAGATATTAGGAAGAAATTCTTTTCTGTGAGGGTGGTCAGAACAGGTTGGCCAGAGAAGCTGTGGATGCCCCCTCCCTGGAAGCACTCAAGGCCAGGTTGGATGAGGCTTTAAACAACCTGGTCTAGTAGAAGGTGTGAAAGAGTTATGTGCAGTAGCAATAAACGTAGAGAACTGTTTATTTTGCCCTGTGCTATTTCTGACAGCCAAGCAACTATTCTAATACTACAGAGAGTAACAAAACTCATTGCTTTAGACTGGAACAAAGATCCTGCTATAATTTAGGAATACATCAGAATGAATGACTTATGTCATCAAACCTTCAGCCACACTGATGCTACTGTACAATACATGTTTGTGTGAGAAATGTATAATTACTCAACTCCAAATTATTTTGCAAATAAAATGTCATTTCATGAGTCCTTGTTTTTGTAATATAGCTTTATTAAATATAATCAAGATTTAATGTACAAAGTGTAAAAATAATTTGAAATATATACAATGTTGTACATGTGCATTTATAAGCATTTTTGAGGTTTTTGTTTTTGAAGCATTCTGCAGGCTTGTAACAAGTCCTCAGGTTCCTTTGTCTTTCTGAAGAGCCCCAGCTACTTCAGAACTGCTTTTTGATGAGTTATTTGCTTTGCCAGTAGACCTGGAACTATTTTTGGGTGAAAGACCATCAGATAAATTAGTAGCTATCGTACTGTTGTTTTCATTTACATAATCAATCCTCTTTTCTTCTGGTAAATTATTCATGAGTGCTTGTGTATTAATCATTGCAAGTTCTTCATCAGCAACCAGGTCATTCTCAGGAAGATGGACAGTCTCTCTCAATTTTCTACAGGGGGTGACATGACCAATATTCTGATTTGTTTCTTTTGATGACTTGCTACAGTGTAAACCCAAACTTCGTGGAGGCTGAAATGCCTTTTTTAAAGATGGAGAAATGATTGAACAGATGGGTGTCAGTGGTGGAGGGGCGGGAATGCGGCTGAGGAAGTCCATGGCTTTTCTCTTTTTGCTGTTTTTGGGATGGTTCTCATTAACTGCAGCAGATGAAGGCGTTTTTGCTGATGAGCCTTGTGCAACAAGTTTCACATTCGGTGTGCTAGTTGACAAAGGGCTTGGATGCTGTATTTCAATTTTAGAAGAAGAGATCTAGTTAAAAAGAGGTAAGTTTTATGTTGAATAGAACGCCCTATTCCATTATCTGCCTCAATTACTTCCACACAACGGGGGAAAATAAAAACAAACAAAAAACTGATTAAAAATGCTATGTCATCATTCATGTCCAATTTACCTTCAGTTTGGTGTCTTCTGATGGTGACTAATGTTATTCTTTCAAGTCCTGATGCCTGATAAATCACTGTTTACAGTTACCTTAAGTCGGCACATCTACATACCGTTTCTGAGATCTAAGCTAAATCTATGGGAATTTTTCTGTGCCAGATGTTAAGAAATCAAAGCACTCATAAAAAGGAGTTAAGTCTTCTACTGCACTGGATATATCCTCAACAGGTTGTTAAATAGGGAAAAGTGAGGAAAAAAAATTGAAGAAAAGAGGGATAGAATACAGACCAAAAAACTTGAACAGTACACACAAATGATGCTACACAGCAAATCATTCAAACACATGTTTAACTTGAAAATACCTGTAATGTCTCATTTGTTTTAACTTTGTTAATATAATTAATAAACTGATATAAACTGAACCTTCAGAATTAAATATTAGCACTCTGAAATGGAAAAGGGTGCTGTATAAGCTGAAATTTAGTCCCCAGGAACTGATCTCACATCAGGGTGTTTCTACCTCCCTTGCAGCTAGTGGCAGGAAGAATTTTTGTTCTGACTGCGCTAAGTACTCCACATAAGGAACAACTTGCCACCAGCAGCTTTCATGGGAAACTTAAGGGTACTATTTAACTCAATTTGTGTCAAGACTGCTATAAAATGTAACCATTTACTAGGTGATGCCTCTTCCCTTTTGAATCCTGGAAATAGTGAACAAAGGAAAAAAAAATCAGGAAGTAAATTCCCCAAACAAGGGTAGGAACTGGGGAATGCCATGAACGAAACATTTATGGATCAAGATTTTTCTCTTCCAGTGACATCCATGTCATATAATCTTCACAATGGGATCAAAGCAGCAATAAATTATCTATAGGGAAAGGATGATTCATTGTACTCATATAAAATTCAGAATATTTAAAATATGCTGTGAAAACAGAGGCCACAAGGGGAGGTTGTCATGTACTGCTTGGAGGAACAATAGTCTCACAGTTCCTCCTGGGGAATAGTCCTAAACCCACATGCAGAGAAAGCTTCTAATCAGCTTTGCACTGTCCTGAAGAGAACATCCAGAGTGGAGTGAGAAGTGAGACCATTCACCACAACTATCAGCATAAAACTTGCTTATATCCTTACTGTATGTACTATCAGTATAAATGATATTAATAACCAGAATCTTACCAAACTTTTATCTTCTGCATGAAGACCTGAGTTGCAGGAGGGAGAGAGGAATTCTAAGACACATCTTTTAGTTGAACTGGGTGTAAGTGAGAGATTTCTTCGTAGCAAATTCATCAATTTACTTTCTGCATCAGAGCAAAAGGAGGCCACATTCTGTAAAGGAGAACAGATTACAGTGCAGAGTAGTTGTTTTTCAAACTGTGTAAGTACTATATGCTCATAAACAAAGTATTAGGACTTTGTTTTCTCATCATAATCCCACTAGAAGTTTATTTTATAGCAAACCAACAATTCAAGAGGACTGCTGTCCTTTCTGTGGAGGGAAATGTCATATCTTCCTTTTATTGTTAACAAGAAAAAAAAAAATTGTATTTAAACTTATTTTTCAGTAAGAAGTGAGAATGCATGACCAAAACATGCTATTTAGCACAGCTAAAAAATTGAAATAATAAATAAATTAAATCAACAATCCAATACTGAATATGTTAGCTGAGCAAGACAGTAAATTCCAACTTCTAAAAGGCTAGAGTCAAACTGTCCATGACAGATTCCCTGTTGACAGATACAATATTTTTTGCTGTAGCCCTGTTCCTATTTAGAAGATTCTGTGGCACATCCTGAAGACAGTGTTGGTTGAGCTGAACGCAAAAAAAAAAAAAGAAAAAGAAAAAGAAAAAAATCAGAAGACCAATAGGTGATATGGAGAATCCTCCAGGAAAGTACATTAACACCTTACTCCATCTCTCAGAAAAATCCCCTCAAATTCAACATTATGTGCATTATTTGTTTTAAAAATTTATTAGTACTAATGGATTTTTTGTTGAAGAACGTAATAAAGCACTAACTATTATTAATCATTAAACTAAAAATCTACAGATTTACCTCTATTGTACTTCTCAGTGCATTAACCTTCTCTTGAAGATAGTTTTCCTTTGGACTGGCTGAGAATACAGAAAGGTCTCCAGCCAACAGTACAGGAATTTCTGATCTGAATTCAGATTGCCACTGAAGGTTGCTTGCAGAAATGAAAGAACAGCGGACAACTATATCTTCAATAGCAAAGTGTCTAAGATCTGTCCTGATCTTCACTGCCACCAAATTATAGCTTTCATCAGATAAGTACACTATAGTGGTGAAACCTAAAAGCAAGAAAAAAGTCTGAATCAAACCTTAAGCCTTTAAGTAAAGGTTGTTTACTGCAATTTGTACCTATAAAAAAAAGTCACACACATCTTGAAAGAGAACTGATAAATACAACGTGGCAGCCCGTGTGCATGGTAACAGGTGTTTGATACTTCATTCATATTGTACACTATCTCCCTACTGATTACAGAAAACAACTCGAAGTCTGTGTTCTAGTGCTTAAAAAATAATACTCCTGTGTTGCTTTTCCTTTTTATTCAGTAGATTATCCACCTGTCCCTACCCGTGAGCTCCAGTGCCTGGGTTCTACTCATTCCATGACAGTGTACACAAAAGAGGGAGCTCATGTACATGCACGAGTCTACTTCTGC